ACCAAATAATTTGGCTTCCTAAACACTTTTCATTTATTTTCACTCCTGTTTTTGTCATGAAAAATAGGTGCCCAACAAATATTTACACAGTAGTTTTCATTGATTAAATTGATCTGTATTTCATATCAAATATATTTGGGTTGCTGCAGAAATGTAACATGACAGGTGTCTCATAACTTGTGAACTATCTGAATCACTGTTTTTGCAGATTGGCTGAAGAAAACCAGACAGATGTAAAATAATTAAACCAGGAGTGAAACTAAATGTTCTTTTTTATTATTCTGTTATTATTATTCTGAGCCTTTATAATGTTATAAGTGATTTAAAGTTAATACAAAACATTCTCACCACAAGGTTTTTGTAGCTAGACATCTTCCAGTAACACAAAGCCAAAAGCAACACGTTGATTATAGCTGAGGAAACTATCTCCTTTCAATCACATTTTACAATTCTGTGAAAACTGGGCAAACTAAATTTACTGCGGAAAATTGTTTCATGTAATTGAAAACTTCAGAACAGGTGTATTTTTGATTTTTGACGTAGAACTAAGTAATAATTAAAAAACAGTAATATAAAGTGCAGCAGAGTGGCAGAGCTAGTAGGGAAGAATAGGATGGAAAAGACTCAGTTGTCTGTCAAAGTGTCAAAAATGGAATATAGCTGTGCTGTACCTGGAACCACAGGGTGTTTCAGGGACACACACACACTGACACACACCTATGCTGTAAGGTCAGTACAATCACTGCTGGATCAACCTCTGTGTTTGTGAGGTGGCGTGTCTGTGTGAGAGAGAAACAGAGAGCTACAGACATACAAAAAAGAGAAACAGCTTGAGAAAGGGTTAAATCCTCAGCTAGAGGGCTCTTAAGACAAACAGGCAGAGCGCACTTGAACGTGTGTGTTCTGGCCCTCACGCGCAGCTGCTCCATACATTATACATTTATCCACATGGGAAATAATGAGATCACTAAGATCATTCTCTTAGAGAAAGAAATCCGCTACATTTACATGGCTGGTGCCCAGCAAATGTTAACAGCATGAGGTGGCGAGCTCCACACGCCTCTCTCACATTTTTCCCCCTCGTCTCATCTCTCTCGTTCTCTCTTTCCCGCCAGCTGTGGTCAGTGTGTGCAAAATTAGACTATGTATAGTATTAGACTATGTAATAGAAAAAGACCAGATGTGAATATCATCCAGGGTCAGTATCCAGTCTGGAGCATCATTGTTGGGCTAAATATAATCAGACTGCTGTGGTAAAATATTTCTACTGGCCAACAAGAGTGTACACAGTTGTAAGGTGTGAATTTGAAACATAAATGCAGCACTGCAGGCGTGTAGGAAAAGGCAAGGATGAGATGTACCTCCCACTTCCTGTTGCCAAAGTGCAAGCAGTGAAACATTAGCTCCCAGGCTAGTTGCGGATGATATCGCCCCATGACTTGCATGTCAGATATGATCATCCTCATCGTCTCTGCCTTAAGTGAGAATTTTTAAGTTGTGGAATAGGAAGGTATTACATGTTTTTCCTTTGACACTCGTCTTGGTGTTTGGAAACACCTGGGCAGATTAGGTATTTTTACAAGGTGCTGGCCTTCCAGGGTAGACTGGGGAATTTGGGCTTTCTTGTGAGTTTTTATGCCTGCAATTTCCGTAAGACATAAGCAAATTTTGAAGGTAGAGTAGAAAGTCAATAAATTAGTCACTTTTCTCTCAATCCTTCTCCCCCCACAGTGAACCACCATCTATTTGTCATTACTCTGCTTCCTCCAGCTCTGTCTCCACTTTTCTTTTCACCCGCTCACTTTCTCTTACGTAAGTAGTTCTCATTAATCACGGCCCGGCTTCGACTACTAAGACTTGTATGGATTTTGGTCAAATTGCTTCTGCCACATAAATCTAGCACATATAAATTTGTGTGCATTCAAGTCACAACCGATGCATGATTAATAGCTGTGAGTACATTTCTCCGTTCTGCTGCAGTTGTTTTGGCCTCACGACAAGCAGCATTCACACCTCATATTTGAGGGGAGGTCACGTGAATGGCTCTGTCGTAGCTGTAGGTCATTGTGGGTAATCTATCACATGACAGCTGGGATCGTGGGCATTCTTATGGGTAGCAACTAGGGACCAGTGTCAACATAACATTCATGCTACATCCATGCCAGTCCTGTCTTTTTTGTGTCCTAGTTGGGTAAAAACTGATCATTTTTCAAAACTGGAACAATGGAAATTAAAATCTGCTTAGATCATTCATACAGGTTTCATATAGCTCAAACATAAAAAAAAATATATTGATCAGGATATTTGAATTAAGCTATAAAAATTGTTCAGCTAATAAAAATAAGCCCACTGTATTAAAGAAATTCACTCACATACAGTAAATGGATTTCCATCAGAAACACTGACTTCCTCAGCGATCACACAGTGAAGCACTGACTGTGTGTGTCCATTTCCACTTTAACAGCAATAAAATTAGCTGTAATGACATCATCCTCGGGGGTGTGATCACCAGCAAAATCAAAGCTGATAGAATTTACGTGATCGCAATTAAATCAAAGTTATTGCAAGAGTTTTCCTCATGAACTTGTTTATTTTTCCCTCCACCCTACATAAAAAAAGGTAACGCTCAATCCCTCAGCGCATTCTTGAAATAAATATGAAATAGAGATCAATGTAAAAGAGCCCTAACCGCTGTTCCTCGGGTGCCATTTCCCATGGCTACGCTGGAAAAATAAAATTTAAAGACAATAAAAAAAGTCATAAATTGTGGATATCAAATAGCTTCCTCTAAGGTTTATGGTCGAGCTCCTCTTGCTGATGTGATTGAGTCATTGTTTCGCACCAGTGAGCATAAATGGGAATGGAATTTATATTAAAAAGGAATACCTCATGTTTGATGTTGGAGGAGTGATCAATGATTTAATTAATCAGCCTTTGAGACTGGGGGATAGTACCTTGGATATTCTCTTATATGTGTTTTCTTCTACCCTATAGCATGCTGAGGCTAATCCCATTTGAACTTGACGCCACTGCAGATCGGGCCTTTGATTCAGGTGAATGCCCAGTTATTACCGAGGCTTCACCTACGCCTCTGTTAGGGCTCGTATTCTCGCCGTGCATCTTGTGTGGGAGGTCAGAGCGGGGCCAGACCTTTCATGTGCAGGAGCCTGTTTGCAGCTGTGCATTCAGACAGGTGATAACAGGGCAATGTCAGATAGATAGGATTGCCGGTGATAGCTGCCAGTGTTTGTTGCTGCCAGCGGAAAAGTATCAGGTGCTTGTGAACTTGTTATGTGACAACTACAGTCGAAATCTGGTCAGATAAACACTTACACCCAGACTACTGTGACCACAATGTGACCATAATCTGACTTGTTTCCCAATTCACGTACAAAAAGATGAATTTTTTTCAGTAAACAGCCTAAAACTGGTTTCATCTAAGATTTAAGAATCAATCATTTATGCAAAGCTGCATTGTTGCTTGTTGCTGATGACTCCAGTTATCCAGTGAGATGAAAGCAGCTAATAATTTTTGATCAACTTATTCTTATTTATGATATTCATAGTACTCAGTCTGTTTTATTCTTAAAAATTGTTCATTGATATGCATTGCCTAAACATTAATTATATTCTAATTCATTCTAATTTGTCTTAATTATCCCAGTCTCTCAACAGAAAAATTAATACAACCCACTGATTATTCCATGCCAAGCAATTCAAAATACTTCAGAGAGGACATGAAAATGATTGAGACTATTTGCATATCCACAGGATTCAAACCTAGTATTTTTTAGAAGTGACATCTTTTGAAGAAAAACATACACAACAAAATAATTGCCACTCTGGCAGCATATTGCTGCCACCATTAAAACTCCGTATCTTGTTACAGGAAATGTTTCTCATTATAATGAGATACTTTTCTTGTTTTTACAAGATACTTTCATGCTAAAATGTATTTTTCACGTATATTTTCTTGCTATTGATGCAGCCTAATAAATAATGTGTAAAAGCCTACTAACTCCTACTGAGTTGACAAAAGCCCTCTCGGAGAATATGATTCCCGTTTTGCATTACTGAAAATTTCATTCCAGCTTTAAAACTATTTGACCTTTTTGCATTGCATTTGCATTTTACATTATCGGTGCTCAAAGTGTCATGTAAAAGTATCGCTCATAGTGATGAACCCACAGGAAGTTATCACCTAATTCTGTACCTCAGTCACAGATTTTATGTCTCTTTTAGCTATTTTTGTTTTAGTCTATTACTCAGAGGTCCACTCTGATCAAAAAGAAAAAGCCCAAATAAACCAACTGTACAATACCTGTTCGTGAAAAACACCAAAGTCAGTGACTAACCTGTGAACTACTATATATGTTATATTAAGAGTTGGTGGTGACCAAAGCAGAGCTAAAAAGACACTGAGTAGTGGACTTGTATTCATCGGGTGGGAAGAAACAGGACTCAAGATGATGGCTAATGTTGCTCCACAGTTTGCCAACACGTTAGCCAAAACTACTTTATAAGGAATTAATTTGTCTGATGTGTTTTTAGTTAGTTTTACTGCCTCAATTGGGGAAAAAAATAAAATAATTAACACAGCCATAAATATTAATTATAGAGATAACAAAGATTCATATCCTAAAATTTAATTAGTACCTTATACAAACATTATATCTAATGTTGGATATTTCATTTTATAACTGCAATTAAAGAATAATTAAGTATTCACATGAGTACAGCCATATAAAATACACTCTTATTATGTGATAGCAACTGGCCACTTAATGATGGAGTTCAGTAAAATGAGTGGGAATTCCCAGCACTAACTTTAAAACATTTAATAATTAGAGATTTTTACTGCTTTAATAAGAACATTATTGCATTATGGTGATGCTCTTTAAAGAGTTAAAGGTTCTTAAATGACCCATTTTTACAAAGAAGCACAATGAAATCAAATATCCTCGAAGGACAAGATTTGTTTTAACATGTTATATTTTAATTTCTGCAGAGACAAAAATGACAAGCAATTTATTTACACAAATCTGTACAAAAGCAAATTAAATTATGTAAAATATCTCATAAATAGAAGTGGACTTGCGTTCAATACACTTTGCCATGTTCAGCTAAGCTGCGTGCATAGTGACTCATATTAAACGATGATAAATTTGTTCCTCAATTTCTATATCAACATCCAAGTCGCAGGACAAATAGTAATGGTTAATATTACAAATCTCATTACACACTGTGAACGCTGTACGAATAGAGGAGAGCACGGACTAAACACACACCTCGGGCAGTAACAGGATACAAACATTTTGATGGCAGGTGTTTTGTACTTTGTGTTCTAAAAAGTTACAACAGTATCACCTACTAACATCGAGATTTCTGGAGCATACAGTATACCCCAGTGCATATCAGACGAAAACGTACTGAGCCTAATAGTGCTCAGCTATGAAGTAGTGGACATCGTATTTAGTGTAGTTGCCTGTGTGTGTGTGGAATGCTTGACTTTTCGTCTGAGATTTGCACTACAGAGTCTTTGTTTTCAAGTCATCAGATCTACAGATTCAAAGCATCACTTTCCAGTATCGCAGCCAACATCGCGCCACGCCTGTTTGTAAGACTGGGTTTCATCATGCACTGATATGCGTCTATTGTAAATCTGCGTGTTGCTTGGCACATCCTGAGGTGTGTGTCCTGTCGGCTGCTCTCCCTTACTGCTTTCTTTCCCCCTCCCGCTTCCACTCCTCATAGTAAACCGTCACAATTAGCATTTTTATCTCTAGGCTCCCTCAACTCTGAGCAGTCAAATGTCTCCAAGCACTTTCATTTTGTTGTCTTCCTTCATCTGTCTTTCACTGCTTCGGTATTCAGTCCTAGAGCTTGTTTCATGCACAATGAAGGTTACTCGACCTCTGATGTCGTACGTGTACATGAGTGGAACACAACAAAAAAAAATCCATTATCATTATTATTACCATCAACAAGCAACTTTTGAATGTATCTGTACTCATTTAATAATGCACTATGCTAGGAATGGATATTTCAACAAGATAATTGAACCCAGTAAACAACAGCCATGTGAGTCTTAGACGAAAGGTTCACTGATATTTGACCGGCCATCCTCCAAGAAGCCTTTGACATCATGGGATTTCATCTAAGATATGCAAATATACTTCAGTCTGTTCTTAAATGCCACCCCAACTACTTTTGTAACCATGTCGTTGTTTATGCATCATTCCAAACCAACATGGAATCATACCAAATGGTATAAAAAGGCACAACTGCATATTTGCATTCACTCTAGTATTTTTTTTTTTTTTTTTTTTTTTGGATTTTTCTTCTTTTATCAGAAGCATTCTAAATTTACAAAGTGGTACCAGGTAAAGAACAAAAAAAAAAAACCACACATTATAGTACACTGTTGTGATCATTTCATGGTTTTGTCTGTTACTGTGTAACAATTCAGTGTATGGGATTAAAACAAACTACAACATGAGATAAAAATTTGCAAATTTGATGGTATAAAGTTGATGTAAATGAAATGTAAAATTTGGGTTTGTGTGGTAAAACAAGACCATGAAATTAGATTAAATATGAATTTAAAAAAAGATCGGCGTGTGCATGGTCTTACGATGTGCAGAGATGTACTACATGGCTAATGTTTCTTTAGGTATAACAAAAGCAAGCAACAAGGTGGATTTCCATGTTTACAGGGATAACATTTTTTGTACATTTTGTTTTACTTTTTTTTTCTTTTTACTTCTCATCAAGTGAAGTAAGTTCCCATTAAACGTGCAGTAAAAAGTAAATATTTATGTATACAGTTGATAAGTATAGGAGCACTTTCCTTCCAACAACGAGTAGTACTTACAGATTATAGATCGCCGGAATGCAGAAAAAGCAGCTCCGGTCAAACCAAAGGGGTTTTGTTAACATACAAAAAGCTCCATTGCATCTGATTCTTTTGCTTTATTACAGTCATGAGATTCTGCACCTCTGTAGCTGAGAAAAATCACTGTAGACAGGGAGGCACGACATCTCAACACTGTTACATGTGTGTAAGTGGTCATTAAGCGTCGCCGTTTAGGATGTAGGCGATGTTTTGTTGAGACATCACATTCTTATCATTCATTCCTTCATTAAAAAAATTCTTCATGTAATGTGTACTTAAAGCAACGTTCTCCCAGAAAGCTATCTGTATATATAATGGGAGGGTGGGGAATGCTTCATCCTGCTTGTGAAGCTTTGGTTTCACTTTGACACCATCTTTCTCCACGTGTAATCAAAAAAAAAGTCCTAGTATCTGCTCGTTCAGGTGTTGCTTTTTGATTGTTTTCCACTGAGCTGATTCTTACATTCGTGCTCAAAGACGCCATCACCTTGTACTATGGAAAGCAACATCTACTAGCGCTAAGAGGACTCTTCGACAGCCATGTGGGGGTTAATGTCACCTTGAAGGCTTGAGAAGAAGTGAAAAAGAAGTTGATGCTTGTTGGTCACGTGTACATTATGATATTTATTGCTCAGTCTATCACACACACACACACACACACGCACACACAAAGGAATAACAGTAAAAAGCTGGCACTGCAGCTATTTTAGGACCGTGTTTATGCCCTCCTAAGCCTATTACTGGTGTACATCTACAGTAAACACTAAATATGGTCTATACACACATTATATACTGCATATCTGGCCCACACTCACATACAATTTCAATTGCACCTTCATAATTTCAAAGACAGCATGCTGCAAACTGTGCTTAGTCAGGATTTTGAGTCAGTGCCACTGGCCTCAGTGAAATGAACCTGCTTTTCTATTTCTGTGTTAAGTGTGTGTCCACGTGTGTGTATGAGAAAAACAGGATATAAACCCGCTGAGGTGATCCAGATATGCGCAGCCATGTACACACATGCTTTTCCGGCCAGTGCTAGGTAATAAGTCATGGCTCTAAGATCTTGCATCTCTTAGGGTTTTGGTGTTAATCCCGCCAATCAGAAGACAAAGAATGGGAGACTGAGACAAAGGGGAACGAGAGCAGTTAGCATCATTGCTGTGGTCCATTGTTATGTACAATGAGTGACTTTTCACTTGTGAAGAGTGTATGCACTGGGAAGTTAGAACCAGTCATCATATGTTCATCACAGTACACCAGCAGGGTCGTAGTCTGAACGAAGGGTTGTTGCAGCAAATTCCACTGGTTCCCATTTCTGTCCATTTTAAGAGAGGCCTGAAATAAACATTTTCTGGGCTGAGTTTGTAAAGCTTTGTCTTTCCCGTCCTTCTAAGATTTGAATAAGGTCAAGTTTCGGTCTGCTTTTGACCAACTTTTATCACAACCCGTGGACAGCTCAGTATGATAGAGACCATTATGTCCAGCATATTGTTGTAGCCACAGAACATAATGGCCAAAGTGTTCCAGTGTTCTGAAATAAAAAAAAAGACATAACCAGATACAATTTGAAGTCGAAATGTCCATATGTACAGCTTCTCTAGAAAAAACGGAAGAAGAAATCGTCTCTTCTACAGTGTCATCTTCAGGTAATGGGGCCTTCACAGGGAGCAGGGGGATAATGCATGCATGTATTGTATATGCAAAATGAGTTGATTATTTTACAGATTGACTGTCAGGCAGCAGATTGTGTCCCATGAGCCCAAGTCGCCATTGGTACAGCCTCATCCCAGGTCCAATGAGTGCTCTCAACAGCTTTCCTCCTCCTCCAGTCTTGCAGAACATGTCCAGAATTAGCACTTTAAAATGGTACTATATTTATATATCCACGTAGATTTTTCATTAAGAAGCTGTCGTTAAAGTCTTTGGAGAAAGTTTAGTCCTACCTTGTGCAGAACAAGAGTAGCTAGAAGCTTCTAGAGCTGTAACGGTGGTGGGTAAGCAGCGATGCTTAGTGTTGTGTTTTAGTGCCATATGTTGTGGCACAGCAGGTGCGTCTAACCCTCCCAGCTCACAGGTACACCTCTCGTCGTGTCAGAGTACCACAGGACGTGGGCTTGTACTCCCCAGTAGGTGCCAGAGGGATTTCCTCGGTGGGGTGGCCCAGCACCTCCTCCCCACCTCCTGGCGAGCCGTAGGAAGGTGAGCCAAATGCCTCATATGAGGAGGAGGAGGAGGAGGCCATCTTCTTGTTGAGCAGGTTCCGATTGCGGTCGCCCATCATGTGAGCGGCGGTGGGGTCTCCGTTGGCCTGCCACTGCCGTTGCCGCTCATGAAGGTGGAAAGCTTTGGTTGTTGGGGGGTGGTGGTTGACTTGGATGGCCGTCGCTCGGGCGACGTACGCACAGGCATCCAGCAGGAGTCCGAGTGGCCGTACTCGTCACATTCCCGGGTGCACTTGCCAGTCATGGCTACGTCAGGCAAGGGCCGGGAGTCTAAAGGAGGCAGAAAGAGAAAACCAAAAGTAAATGATGCTGTTTGTTTCACTAAAGTGGGATATTTAAGGATAAACTAACATTCTTGGCTAATTAAATTTCCTAACACCGAGTGTTTATTGTGCTATGTGTCACATGATTTGGTTGTTATGAACTCCTTTCTTAGATGTGTGAATCTGTATTTCCTCCCTAATGAAGTCATCACCGCATCTAAACGTTAATGGAAAAGGTAGAAAACAACAAAAACTGGTCACAATGATTATCAGGCACCTGTTGTCACAGCTAATGCCAGTGAAAGCTCTGACTTTTCTAAAAATTGTTTTCATGCAGATCCCATACCACATGACAGTAACAGAAAACAACAATGAAGACTCCACTGGCTACAACAGCCTCCAACTGAAAAACTGTGGCGTGAATCAGAGCTGAAATAATGTCATGCTTCAAAAAGTGTTTGTGCTGAGAGGGGAAGGGGGGGGCAATGGATAGAGCAGGGAAAAGGTCTGTTTTTGCTTTTCAGCTGGCGCTGGTCTAAAAGTTGAAGTTGCACAATTAGGCCTGCTCTGTGTGTATGTCTGAAATGCGTGTGGTCAAGTATGTTTGTGAGACAGGAGCACCGACAACACCCTGTTTCCTTATCTTGTGATTGACAGATGGCAATCACATTCTGATCTAAGTAGCTTTGCCTGGCTCAGTCGCCTTCAATCTTCTTAAATTCACTAATACGGGTCTTACCTAGCTGGGCGCTGGCCTCAGATTAAGTGTGTCTACTGTATTATTGTGGAAAGCAAATTATGTGCTTACAGTACTACACCAGGACAACAGGTTTAAATAATGCCGTACTGTTGGCTACTGTTGTAAGACAATATGTACAGTGTTAAAGATGCAGTAATTATCCCAAATACAGAAAACCAAAGCTGAGGAATTAGCTCAATATGAGTCAAAACTGTGAGGAGGGAAGGAAAAAGAGTCTCCTCCACAGCCCTGACCAAATGCTGGGATATTACACAGTGCCAGAGTTAATAAGAGTGCCAGTGGTACAGTGATGCTATGTTAGATGTAATTTATTCATGACCTGATGCAAAGTATGGGAAAAAGCAAAAGCAATGGTAAGTGCAAACCAAGCCAAGCATGCCTTTGCCCACAGTAAAAAGAAGAAAAAAAAAAACAGTTTGGACCATGGCTTACTTTTAATGCTCTTTTTCTCCTGTAAAAGAAAAAAATAGAACAGAAATCACTCTTAGTTTTTTTCACTTATGCAATTTATATATTTATACTGCATGAGAAACCTTGAGCAGCATTTAAACTGTAACTAAAATACAGGTTGACAACAGCTCCAGAAACGTGTTATGCAGAACAGACACATGACTGAGGACACAATGCAGCAGAGAGGAGGACAGAAAAGAACGAGGAGACAGGAACATAGGAATGAGAGCCCTTTGTAGCCCTACAGATTTGAGTTTTAGAGCAACAAATAAATCACTTGTTTCACTATGAATGCCTCTCAGCAAAATATTTTGATATTGCTTCAAGAGTGCCATTCCTGTGCTGCTGAAAATCTTATTTCTGCTAAATACCTATCGGAATCCATTTTCGTGTCATAAATTACCTTTGTAAAGCATCAACTAATGATTGCCAGTCAATGTATAGCCAATGCCTCAGGGAGCAGCTGCCACTCGACAGAAGAATCAAATAACTTTTTGTCATTAGTGAGCCCAAACAACTGAGTAGTTCTGTTTAATGAAGTGTAAATAGCTATATAAATAAGGAAAGACAGGAAAATAAAACAAAACAGAGAGATGTAATGGCAGTCACAAACAGTTAACATGCAGGCTGATGTGATGAAAATGATAACTGTGGCTCTGGATCACAGCATGACAAGAAAAGCCGTCCCTGCCTTCCTGTCACTCTTTTTCTCTGACAAACACAGCTATCAAAAGAGACAAGCACTGATCGTCTTGCTCATTTACACCTACGATTGAGCTATCAGGTTACTCATGATGCACGGTGGCTCTCTCGAGGCCTAGGCGCCCCTGCTCCTGAATGCTTATCCAGTCGCTTCCTCACCGAAGTCAAATTCAAGCAAACTAGTACCAAATCAGCAGGGAGGGCCCCTTGTTTCCTGCAGCTCTCACGGGTAAGCAGCCAACCTTCAGCATCGCATCTCTGCTGCCCCGCACGATGAGCTGCTGAGGTAGTTAGCCGGCGCTCTGTGTGTTGTGCGCGTTGAAAGGAGGCTGATTATTTCCTAGCCATGGTCCATTAACTCTGCAGGCTTGCTAAAAATGAAGATGTTTCCCACTGAGTTAATGAATTGGGCTGCTATATCAAAGCAAAAAAAAAATTCTATTTCTCTCTCCTAACATTTCACCTCCCCCTGAGAGTGGGCCATCAGTATGAGTACTTTAAACCACTTAAATCCATCTGTCCTTTAGGCCTGCCCGAGTACAAACACTAGAGCTGGGTCCACACTGGACAAGTAACAATAGGTATAGGCAATGCTACAAGGCATTTTGTTTCTATTCTTTTACATAAAAATATCAAAATTTGACTAAATGAAAGCAGACACGTTGCTGGAAAATCAAATTGTTTCAAGCATTTCTATGGAGACGATACAACGTTGCTTCCATATATTCATAGGCCCTTTCAAAGACCTAAATCAGAAATCAGGACGTAGAAAATATTTTCAAAGAAAAGCCCTTAGAGCACACACAGCACAGTAGCAGGCTTTTGTTACATGTTCACAAACACAAAGACAACACAACGTACTACAAGTGGGTCACTCTGCCTTGTTAAAAAGCATCCCTGGAATACTGAGAGCCAAACAAGGAGGCCTCTTCGTCCCAGGTTATGTCCCTGGGAGCTCCGGCTTTGTTATTTGGGGATCCAGAGTCAGAAAACAGAGGTGCAGTCTGGGTGCCGCAGGCAGAGCTCGCCATCTCCGTCACTGGAAGAGAAGGGCTTTCTGCCAAGTAGGGGCTGTTCTGCTCATAATGGCCTGCAATGCATGCCATTAACTCTCTTTTACATTTACTCAGAGGAAGCTTCTGGAGCAGCGAGGGAAGGGAAGTAATGGTGGATCAGGGAGTGATTGGCGGGCTGAACGGAAGAGCAGCAGCTTTTGCTGAAACATAATTCCACATGGGACAAAAGTTGTGCGCTGCTGAAATGACGATTACCCACCAAGACACCATGGTGCAGCAGGGCTCTGAGATATGTGCCTTATTTTAAAGTCTATATAGCCTTTTTTCATTTGATAGTGGGCTGAAAGTGGGCCAGTGGTTGCATGGTTTGAGCTGTGGCTTTTCTTAGCTGGCTTCAGTCAGCTACCCTGTCAGCTGACTAGCTTACACTGTGGGATACTGCTGGGGTACAGTAGCAATTCGATGCAGTGTCTTTAAAACTTGCTAAGATGCTGCAGTAGTAGGATAAAAACATGGAAGGTTAGACTGTCATCCCTTCTGGACATACTCATGCTAATGTCTCCTGCATTTCTGGGCAATTACACTTTAGCGTGTTGGTTTGTGTCACAGTACTACACTGTGTGTTTTCACTGTAGCATGTTGGAAACTCCACTTGCCGGTCCACGTTTCAGCATCATCACCAGCTCTTTCACTTTTGATCTGTATCATTCCTCACATCATCTTTTTCTTCCCCTCCTTTATTTCGCTATGAACTACTGTTACACAGACTGAAGCTCCATGACCTTTTGCCCTCTCTTTTCTGGTCGGCAGATTCAATCCGGAGGCTGAGGCACTGAGAGGAAGGGATGGTGGAAGTAGGGGAGAGTGAGATAAAAAAAAAACAAAATGAAATAAGACAGAGTTGATGTTGCTTGCATACATTTTTACGTATGCATCCACACTGTGACTTTGATAGACATTGCAGTTGGGTGGACAGCAGATAGGGGTCAGAGCAGAAAGAGAGGAGGGGATGATTCAGAGAGGAAAGGATAGACAGAAAGAGAAGAGAATGAGGAAGAGTGTGTGTGCTGAGTATAGCAGGGTCAGGGCCCGGGAGAAAGGAAACAGCAGATTGAGTGGAGAAGACAGCGTGGCTGCCTCTGGGCCGTCACAGGCCAAACACGCTGCCAAAAAGAGCAATGGAGAGGAGAAAGAATTGAGGACATTCACAAAGACAGAAGCGGGAGAGAGGAAGAAAGGACAGAAAAGGAGAAAGAGTGAGGATATAAGGAACCTTGATAAAAGAAGATGCACATTATGAAGGCTAAAAAAAAAACCCATTCACCTCCAAATGTCATTTACACCCACATGGTTCCAATTTGAAGCGAGAGAGAAACATCTTGTTCTCAATCAAGATGAGGAAAAAGAAAGTTTTCAGGGCTTGGGCAAAAAAGGCACGAGAGGGCGCCTGTGTGAGAAGAGTGAGTCTAACTTGGAAATAGGCTTGTGATTGCCTGGCATCCCCTCATCAAAGAGCTCCCTGTATGGACAGATCTATTTCGCACAGTGGAGCAATCAGCGTGAAGATGACAGTGTACATTGCTGGGTGTCAGACAGATTACTTCGTGCGGCAGCGGAGGGAAAATGAAATATTTATCCTGAAAAACCAGCTGTTGGAAATATTCAGGCCTTTGTAAGAAAGTAGGAGAGTGAGAGGAAAGAAAAGCGAGACAAATGAAAAGTGATACAAGGAGACAGCAAAATGAGATAGTGATGAAATTCGACATAGAGGGGAGCTAGCATTCTCTCCACAGCTTTCTACTCATTCTCGCCTCTAATGGGGGCCCATTTAATTAGGTGAAACTTGACGACTAATTATGGTGTAAGAGCAAGTCTCCCTGTGTTTGGTTGTCTCACTTTGCAGGACCCCTGTGGCATCGCCTTGCAGCTGAGAGGTCTTCAGCATCAAAGACAGACAGGCAGATACAGCACCCCAGAGTTCACACACACAAATCTATAGGTGGCTGTGAAGAAGGAAAGGAGGGAAGAGCAGATGAAGAGAAGAAGGAGGGAGAAAATCAAGCAAGGAGAGGAAGTGTT